ATCAGCTTTTAAGTCAGTTTGACCAGCTTTTAAGCTGAGCCAAACAGGCTCTAAGCTTTTAAGTTTAATATACTTTTGACTTTTGAAAGTTTGTCCACCGAATAAAAAGGATTAAAAGTTCACGATCACTCATTTTCTAAGTTGCTGGGTATAATTTTCTCAACTTTTTAAAATGCGTGCTACTTTGATTAAAAATCAACTTTAAATTAATAGTACATGTTTAAAATCACAACTTCTAGATATTATATTTTTAATATATATTAAAAGTTTTTTGCTACTTTCTAAAATGTTCATGCATAATGAAATACTATTCGTTTTAAAGAAAATGAACTAATTTGACTTGACATAGAGTATAAGAAAATAAAGAAATTTTCTTTTAATTTTGTAATATCTAGATTGAAGTTATGTTTAATGTATCAAAATATTCTTTAATCTTATTATCTTAAACATTTTATCTTAAAAATTGAAATTAAAATATCGTCAAAAAAGGAAGAAAAAAAAGTCATTTTTTTAGAGAGAAGAAGTACGATTCAACACATGCAACTTGCAAGAGGTAAAAGGAGTACGAAATCGCCTTTGATAGGGAGCCATGAGACTTTTCGACGCGAATTTGAATTTAGTCAGGCTATAATGTGGATACGGGACACCCAATATGGAAAAAAAAAGGAGTTTGAGCTTTGTTCTTTTCTTCCACAGAGTGTACACAACATCATATGTCAATTATGTGAGATGTAACAATTACATTAGTAGTGTGAACAGCAACCCAGAAGGTCTTGGAAAGTTGCATTCAACCATATACTTTTCAACAACAAAAAAAAACATATACAATTCAAACAGTCTCTTTCAAATTCTGTTAGCAGCTAACACAGTGATTATGAATTGATCAGCTAGCTAGATCATCACTTAATTAATTTAATTGATACATTATTCTGATTAACTTGTTTATACATTCAAAGACTTCTTTTTATGTGTATAAGCAATGCATATTTTATTACAAAATCCTTTTTATTTTATTAAATCAACATGATATATCTACTATATATGATATACATCGTCTCTAGTACTCTCTCGAACTGTATTTAACCTAGGTTGTTCAGATTCTTGGAAAAATATTGTTCAACGTAACACGATATAGCAACATCAATTAAAACACAATCAACTCTCTCGAAAATTTATATTAAAACATGATTTATTCAGAATTTCAAACGTTCAAAAATGAAAAAAAAAAAAACTCTTCCTTTAATTATTATCAAAATTATGAACATAAAGGATGTATGTATATATATATGATCCAATTTCGAGATCAATTCGACAATGAAACTCTTTAAGCAATGATCTTATCTATGTCATTTCTCTTGACGCGATACAAAAGACGATTTTATATATATATATATATATATTATTTTCGAGTTTCTATTCTATAGATACTATACATATATATATATATTCATATATATTATTGTTATTATTATCTGTAAGATTTGAGAACAGCACCACAAAAGGAACAAACAATAACCTTCCAAGATTTCCAGTAAAATGGAACATAACAAAATCTGGTAGCGGTACGCATATCAGCAACTTGAGCTCCGTGGCCGCAACGTGAACACGAACCGGCCACGGGCTTACTCTGCCTCATCATCTTCTTCTGATCCACCAAAAAGCAAAAACAAACCATTATATCGTACCGTATTATATTATATCAATCGATCAATTCAGAGAAATAGAGAATTTAGCAACTTTTTCCAACAGGAAATATTATTGTTGTTTGAAATTTGAATGATCCAAAAAAATAATTTCATATGTGGTATATATAGTGATACATAAAATTATTTATGATGGGTCCACGTTAACCGGCTTAGATATGGGCTTGAGCGTGGAAGCCGCAGGCTGAGTTATTAATTAGACAGGCTTTGTGATCAGGTCAATGTCCAAATTCAGTTTCCAACTTAATGGATCATTGCCACGTGTACGTAGGAACTCTCCAATACTGTTGGGGTTTAGTACTACTTACATTGTCGTGGTAAAGCACTCTCTAATAACAAAGGTTAATAACAAAGGTTGATTCAATATCGAAGGAGGCTCGAATTCGCGATCTATTGATAAAGGATGAAGGATTACTTATCACTCGATCACAATACTTGTTGGTAGAAAAAGGTTGTGTTAAGATCTCATGTAAGTACTATAGTAGTACTATTTTGAAAAACATATTTTCTGTGTCTCAATTTATGTGACACTTTCGTTTTGGAGAGTCAAATGGTTTAAATTTGACTGAGAATTTGTGAATGAAATCTTTAATTTTTTTGAAATAAAATTTATATATTTGTAAACCACGTAAAAGAAACTATAAGTCACAATAATTGATTATTCAAAATATTTAAAAGATCTATCAAAAAATTACTGTAAAAATAAACTTATTTAAATCTTAAAATTCGAAAAGTATCACAGAAAAGAGTCTAACGAGATTATAAGTCAATTTACATTATTATGTTAAATTGACATGTTATAACTATATTTTTAATGTGACCCTATTGGATTTAACATGAAAAATTACTTGTTGTAAGTTGAATAAATGTTATAGAAATTATATAAGTTGAAAAATTCAAATTTTTTTATACGGTTCATGTACTTGAATCATGGAGGTATAGTTAAGTGCCATGTGTCTATTTTACAGTTGGGATGCTTTTATTCTTGTGATTAAATGCAGGTCCTTTTTTTCTACTTAAAACTCCAATGAAACACCTCCAAGTTCAAGTTATCTTTTACATTCTACGTTATACAAATTAAAAGATGTGAGGTCCATCCCTTTTAAAAATATTTATATCATAATAATAATAATAATAATATTACACGTCGTATACAATAGCGACAAGAGCATGCATAATGATTTTTCGAAAATTATTTAACAGTAATAATATAATATATGTATTTATAACCAATATTTTATGTAAATGTTATTAAAGATTTTAACGAAATCTGACGTAATACTTAACATTATACTAAGGATGTCGAATCAATAATATTTCCAATGGGCTTAATCCAATACTTGTACGATAAATACTATGTTTTAATTTCAAATAAGTTAAACTAGTCGAGATCGAAGTTAAGAATCCAGTTACACAAAATTGAGAAGGCCCAAAGTTTATTCAGAGATTTGGGCTATCTTTTTCTTATTGAGCCATTATTGTTTAAGTCCAGTGTCTTTGTAAAGAACAGTTAGCATTTGCACATGTACATATTTTGTCTATTTTTCCAACTTTTTTTTCTCTATATATAAATAGTTTGAATAGGAATTTCTACCAATTTCAATTTCATGTTTCCGAGTTATAGAAGACAATTAAAACTAAGACAATTTTTTCGAATTCGTCTTCCTAACAACTTTGCTTCCTGTTGTAATTGTCATTAATATATGTAGCCAGAAATAATAAATCGAAGCGCGAGTACAAACAAACTTGAAGGATGGGATTAGAATCAAATTTGGACGATCAACTTACCCACCCCAATTCCAACACGGACTCAACTAAGAGCGAGTTCGTATATTTAGTAAATAAAAAGAGAAAATCTTTCTTTTAACTCGATTTATCATGATGAATCAAATATAAGCACTAACAAAATTTAAATGCTCTTCGATAGAAATTAAATATATAATATGGAATTAACATGTAAATGAGGTTAATTCCATTTTGTCCTTAGCTATTATTATGAAAATTTTGTAAACACAATCAATAATCATTAAGAACTTTATTTTTGGACCAAAAATTTCAAGCAAAGGTGGAATACAAAATTTGTGTGTTTTCAAAATATTGACTTTTAATGACTAGTGGGCAGAGAAAGAAAAAATTTGATGTTTTTAAGTTTTATGTGAGTTTTGAAATTTTGATTTAACGATAAAAACATAATAAGTGATATATAAATTAAACGTACGTCACATATTTAATTTTTATTGCAAAATAAAAGCCTAATAGTTAAACAGAAACATATACACATGAATATCAAAAACAAGTACATCATTTATCAAATTATAAATCATACACCACTAAACCTCGAGAAATTCTCTATTATATATAGAAAAAATATATTCTCTTTATGTGTCATATAAGTTACCTAATTAATTACACAGACTATAAAATTCATGAGCTTTGATTGTTTTTTCTGATTGCTTTTACCTCAATAAAACAAAAGGGTATTATATATTGCATGTGCTGTCCCAATATAATTGTTTAATATAAACATGAACATGTGCTATGAGGTAATCATGCCATGTAATTTTTGGTTCCACTGCTACATTTTTTGTTACACATTTAATTTTGGCTTTAATTTGGCTTCACATGCAATACAACTTTTCTTTTTTATCATACAAAAAAATAAATAAATAGAAGTGTAGAGATATATAATATGAAAGTTACTTTAATTTGTACTTTAAGTTGTAACTCTCACATTTGTTGTCAAATAAATTAAGAGAGTGTTAATATTTCTTTTGAAAAGAATCATCATTACGTATATTGTCTTCTCAATATGTTTAATGAAGGTTCGTTTGAGTGTGAAGAAAGTAAGACAAATGAAATGTTACATATAAGACTCACGAAGGTACCATAATATTTCGAAATTAATGAGAAAGTAATTCAAAATTTTAATTTTATGAATTTGAAATATTGCTGAATTCACTTACTATTTAAATTATTGATTTAAAATCTAATATGTGTATATTTATCATATTTTTAACATATATATGCGAAATTTGAGTCAAAAATATTAAGTTCGATTCGTAATTAATATTGTGCATTAGTCCACGGAATCAAATGACTTTTTTTTAATGCTTATGCTTTTAGTATTAAATGGATTAACCGTATATTTCGGGATTTTACAGTAAAATTTGTGTTATGTCTTTTATATAAAGAATTTTTTTATCATATGGATTATTCATCACTCGGTAAAATTAGTAATTAATCTACTTTCATAGGCTAAAGAATATTTTTGGGTCGGTCAAATCTATATCTGGTAAAAGTGATAGTCTGATTATCCGTTACCTTCCTCATTATCATGTGTGTATATATGTGGGTTCGTAGGAGCAATTTGCGATAATATTTTGACATTATTTTATAATTTTTTAATTTTTGTATCAGGATATCTTTTAAGGATCAATATTCGAATATATCTATTTCAATTTAGGTGTGAATTGAGATTCACCTATAAATTCTATAGAATCAGAATTAGATATCTTGATGCACAAACATATTATAGAAATGCTTATATTATAAAAAATTTCTATATTATCAATGTATATAACTTAAATCAAATTTAACGATGACCTTATTATTTGACTTTAACATGTTTAACATCAAATACATACTACATATGTATCATATTGATGCAAACAAATTTTATATTTTTGTTGAAATTCAAAACTTGTAAGTACAAGGAAACCCTCCCTAGATACTAGGTATATTTTTGAGGGTCTATCTAATATTTGACTATATTGTATTTGAATAATGGATTTGGTCATCATATGGAGACCTAGCACATGCAAAATCTGACCTAGCTACAAATCACTAATTTTTGCCCATTTCTAAAGCATAATATATGGACTTTGCTTATATATCTCAATTTCTATATTAACTATATTGTATATTTTAGATCACACATCTTCTTTTGATTACCTCTATATATTATTTTGCCTATTATAATTCATTATGAGGATTTATCATGTTCATTGTTTAGTATTTTGTTTGGAGGGAAAATATAGTAAATATTAGATTATCGTAAAATATATTATTTACTAATTTTAGTTCATAATCTATTTTTAAAAATAATATTTTCAGTTTGTTTTACGAGACCGTGAAATTCTTTATATATACGACTATTGCCTAGGGACGACCAACGAAAATATTATAAACTTTATTTTTTCATATTTTACGTATTCAGAAATTAAATTACTATTGTCTATTGAGATATTTACTTAATTTTTATAACAAAATGTTATTACAAAAAACATGTAATATATCGCATAATTTAGAAGATTAATTTCATAATTTTTTTTACTCATTATAGAGAATAGTAATTATTACTTTCTCTATTTAATAAAATTTATCTCTTATACTAAAAATAGATGTCGAACAATACGTGTCTATTTTATAATATCGCAGGATAATTTCACTCTTTCCTAATTTACCTTCTTAATTAATTATATTTATTTTTCTATTATTCTATCCGTCCGATGTTATTTGTCATGGTTTTTATTTTTAGATGTGGTCTAATTTAACTTTAAAAATTAGTCAAATTGACTTTCGAAAAACGCAATATAACAAATAATAACGGACGGAAGGAATATATTTTTTAAGATATTATATTTATTATGTTTTTCAAGACATTATATTCAAAGATTAATATGATAAAACTATAATTTTATTTATTATTTTTTAGATGTATATTGAACCAATAATGGACAACTATTATAGACCTATTAGTATAAGAAGGTTTGACGGTATTGAATATATAACCTCCCAAATTTTGACACGTTTGTCATTTGACACAAGAAGACAAGCGAGAAATTAAATGCTCATTAAGTTAGTTTCATCTTGAGCTTTGCACCTAAATAGAAAAAAAGATATTGTAATTAATGTAGTTAAAATAATTTATTATTATTGTTGTTGCTAATGTGATCTTAATTGAACAACTGGATGCATAATATTAAATCTAGAACTTATTTTCTATATAATTATTATCATTTCTTTAATTGATGAAAGATGTTTCATGGCTTATTGCCGACCTTATTATTTTGGGCAAATTTTTTCTTCTAAT